TTCCAAAAACCAGCTCTGGATTGCTGCATATAGTTTGACATTCAAGATATTTTAATATTATCAGCTAGCACTGCCTGCCATCTGGGATGAGCAATGTTTTCTTGACCAATTATTTATATGCCTCTAAAACAAGAGTGAGTTTTGAGAAAGGATTTGTTCAAAGCTGGAAAGCAAAAGTTCTCCATTAGAAGAGAGGATCACAAATGGACTATGCCAAATACCTGCTTTATTTAGGGGAGAAAAATGCTTCAGTAAATGTTATGTGAGGGTATGGAAAATTCTGTCACAGTTTGGCAGAGACATGCCTGGCGTAGGCGGGTGGGCATTCAAGCCTGACATAACTGGCAAAGCAGCAGTGGTGACATGAGAGGACATGAAAACATGAGGGGTGAAAGGTATGACCTGGTGTTCTCAGAGGGAGAGAAGTTGCTTGCCAGAATATCTCAGCTGGGAGGGAACCAAAAGTGCAAACACAGAAGGCAACCCCAGCTCCCACCGTCTGTGCAAAGCCAGTGAAGACAGCAGCTGAGATGTCAGGTTGGTCTTTAGACCATGCCCCTATTACTGTCAGGAAAAAATCCTTTTCATTTCATAGTAATTAAAATGCTCATAGATGTTTTATTAACTCACTCTACAGAGCCACATAGATTTTATAATTCATCCAAGCACTTACAAGTAGTTACTTGTGTTAGGCTGTCAAGACAGAAATGATTCAAAACCTTGTGTACTGAGCTTCTTGGAAGACATATCATTCCCTAACACAATGGTATTAGAAAGACTGCTGACAGATAGTGATCAAGAGATTTCATTTTGCTTGTCATATGGTGGGTTGTCAATTCTTCTTTTTGCTTTAGATAAAAGCTTAGTTGCATTAGGTTTCAATAATGGTGAAGTTGCAGGTTAACATTTTTCAAAAGCACCAAAGTGACTTCAGTACTTAAATTCTATTTTCAAAATGCTGTAGATACCTGAGAACAGAAGTCTCTGCAGTAAATGGAACTGAGACATTATCAAATAATTTTATGGAATGGTGGGGAATAAAACCCCAACTCAAGAGGACCAAAGTTTCTGCCCTACTCCAGACCACAGGTTTAAAATATATTAAGTTTGTTGATGACTAAAATTCAAGAACAAGCCAAAGATTTACATTTCCATTTTGAACATGATTGTTTTAACACCAATGTATCCACTGCAGATTTCCTCCCACACTTCTTAAGAAATTTCTAAATGACAATTTTAAGATGGCCTTCACCTCAAAATATAAGATTCCCTGAGTTTTGCTCAAGATTTAAGCAGGTGATTCAGTGATATTTCTACAAAGTTTTCCATTAAAAATATAAATGCAAATTATTAGCTTGACTTTTCCCCCTTATTTTAACAGCTTAGAGGAAGAAGTGGCCGTTTAAACTTTAGTCCCCCCTTGAGTGAAATGAAAAATTGAACCAGTACATACAAGTGGAAAAGTAGCTCAGATTTTCTTTCTGTTAATACTAACCTAGTATTAAGCAAATAAATAATCCATGCAGTTAGCCTATATTTAAAATATTTGTTCTTCTTTAAATATAAAGTAACTTTCACAGAAACAAACAGAAGTGGCTAGAGACTGAAATCATTCCTTTGAAACTGAAGCTGAGTGTTTTCTTCTTTAAGCTCCAAACATCATCTCCCTCATGCCCATAGGGCTTCACACTGTGCTCCAGGACTCCATTCATTCCCTGCTCCCCTCCACTGCTCAGCTCAGGGGCTGGCCCAGGAAAGGCTGGTTACAAGCTCAGCTTCCCCAAGATTTCAGAAGTTTATCTCCATTCATTAATTGCCTTTTTTTTTATTTTATAAATGGTGAATTTCTCAAGTTAAACTGTATTTTTTGTAATACTTTTAGTTTGCTCAGTTATTGCAGGTACTGACTATGTAATGTTGAGAGCAAACACATTTGAAACACAGCTGCCATAGCAGCTATAGAGCATCTAAAAGGGAAAAAAAAATAGGCCAGACCTTTATTAAATTTTAAAAGTATGCCTTCGCTACACTCTTGTAAAGATCCAAATAGGGTATTCAAATCTCTAGAGATCACCAGTATAATTTCTTTATCATGTTCCATTTAAAATTTAATTATGTAGTCTACAACAAGAAGTATCTGAGTACTTTAAATAGGTCATGCAATGAACAACTTAATATTATTGTAAAGTTTTCCTTGTGAAGATCTCTTCTTTGATGTGCTGTTGCACACAGAAAGCCTTTCTTCGGAAAAACAATATACATTCATAGCTATAATAATGTCATTTAATATAAAAATTGTAAAGCTTCTTTATCACATTTAAAGTCTGAATTTTCAATTCATTCTCTAGCCTGAGCTTCCTGAAATCATCAGAAATAACTGGTAAATTGGAACTGACACAATATAATTGTACTGAATATTTTTATATCTTTCTACAGGCAAAGTTAATCTATTATCTTTCCTACTAAATGATGTCCACCAACTCACATTTTTCTATTTTTGCCTATCAGTGATACACATACTTCAGTGGCAAGAGGAAGGGTGATTTCTTCTTCCTTTAAATGTAATCATTAGAGAACCATCAGCAGTATTTAATGGAAAATGAATATATTAAAAAGCCACATTTACCAAGACACTTTGTTATATTGGGTTTTTTAAAAAAAAAATGCGCATATGTAACCTCTCTTGGTTACTACTGAGATGAGAAAATATTCAAAATATACTCCTCTGTACTTCTGACTAATTACAGGTCTTTATGGGAGTGAATCCCTAATTCCACCTCTTTAATTGAACTATGAAAAAATCAGAAGGGGCTTTTGAGCCTTTTTTTAAATGACAACAACAACAATAATAAATAATTAAGGCCACCAGTGCCTAAACTTTCTTGACAGCCAGACAAAATATTCCAAGTACAGAAACATCTGTTCACACTTACTCCACTTGCAGTGAAAACCCTTTCACCAGGTTTGCAAGTGCATGAAAATGATTTGATCAATCCTGGCCACAAATATATCCAAGAGTAATCAGTGCTGTGGGAAAAGGCATTGTGTTTGCCTGGACAATGGAGAGTTGGGTTTCTGGTGTTACAGGGGACTTGCTGTGCCCCACTGGCCAAAATACAGCAATGGGAATCCCAGCAATGATGGGAAAGTGGTTATTAATTTTGTCATTTCAAGGTGCAACACCTGAAATTTTATATGTTGTAAAGTGGTTTCAGGGTGAAGGTGGAAGAAGATGTGGGGAAATTAGACTATTTCACTCTTATGAATTAATAATAGCAAAATGAGTCACTTGACGTTTGAAAGAAGAACAAAAAATATTAGATTACTACATCACAACATAAGATTAAAAACCCCAAGGAGCTGTTTCCTTAGAGAAATTCAGGAACAGGTGAATCCTGGAGAAGACCGGAGGACAGGCCAACCTGTGCCTAGCTGGAAACATTTGTTTTAAACCATGACAAGATCATTTGGTTTAATATTTATAACACAATTACAATGCCTTGTGCACATTGCTGGTATAATCTGATTTTACTTGTGACATCTTACTGCAGTTGAAATTAAAGCCTTGTGGTAATAATTCAAAAAGCACATTTAGACAATCATTAATGGCAAGTACGAAACGGGATGTTTATTCAAGCACTTATGTGTCTCATTTTAACTTTAATTTGAAGTGGAATTCATTTCTGCAGTGTAAGGACTCCATGTTTCCAGTATATTAGTCCTATAATACCTCACCATGTGCCGTGAAACAGGATTTTTTTTTTCTTTTTTTGGTATGTGTGTGTGTATGAAGAAATGCAATTATTTTGCAAGGAAGATGAACAAAATCTTTGGTGTCTGGTAGGCCTGATCACTGGTCAGCTCTTCAAACACATGCCAAAATTTCACAAGAATATTTGCTTGCACAACCACGGAGGCCAAGTGACAGTAAGCCATAAAAAGAAATGCATGCATTAAATGAACAAATCATATAAATGGCATAAATTTGTATGCACAGAACAAAGGGGTACATTGCACAGGGAAAACTCACCATATGTAGTGAAAATATACTTTTTTACAGCTTATCAATATAAAAAAGTCAACAAATATACACCACACACCCTCTAAAGAAAGGTGGATATTTTTTCTCTGCCTTAGAATCAGAAGCATCTTGCACATATTATCATGCTTAAAGAAAACTGTCCTTCCTCTTGAAATATTCCTTTTACATTGAGTGTTGTTTGAACCACAACACTGCTTTAATCAGAGGATAGCAAAAAACCCCAAAAGCATAACCCCACTAAAACCCCTTGCACTTCAGAGAGCAAAACCAGTGGCAGAAGGTACAAGAGGACTGAGAGCATCTTTTTTTAACTCACCAGGCATCGCTGACAGATTACTGTATCAGATTTTTTTGTTTCCCTTCTCTCCACCCTTTTCTCTATCTGCATGATTACAGCATTTTATTGCATTCTCTAACAATATGTAGACAAGTCTCTTTTCAAAAACCTCTATCACAGCCTGGGAGTCTTGTCTACTTCTATTATTTTATGAAAAGGTTTCTCAGCATAGAAGAATTTGGTCTAAGCTGCTTTCCTGCTTTCCAAATGAAAATGCCTTAAGATAACAGCTTTTTTTTTTTTCCTCCTACCTCCAAGTTTCCCTCCTCTCATCCCTCAGGTGAGATGTAAAGCAAAAGCCAGACCACCTGCCATGGGTATAATTGCACAGCTGGAAGGAAGCCACAGCTGGGATTTTTCTCATCAGGTGCACAACTGTGCTGAGCCTCAAAGCAACTTCAACCCGTCGCTTTAAGCTGTGTGGGCTTGGCTGTGCCAGTATTTCAGTGTCATTTGTCTGTCTGTGGCATGCAGGGAGCGTTCTCCTCTCTGCACCCCCAGTTCTCAGTATCCCAGCAGTTCTCCCTCGGAAAAGGATCATGTTCTGCCTCCAAAGGTCGTGCCTCTTTCAGCACCTTCCAGACATTGACACACAGATGCGGTTTAGAGCAACTTGCTTACCTTGGTAATGTTCCAGATAACTCTGTGGCAGTCTCTCTGAAAGACACAAGGGGAGGAAAACTTAGTTTGTGTTTTAAAAAGCTATAAAATTTTTAAGATGCCTTTGTAGTGCTTGTGTTTTATAGGAGTGCAGACACACATCCACAGCTCCGTACGCAAGCGCGTCGCTGGCGGATGCGGTGCCCCCCTGATCACACACAAAAGAATGTGAAAAAGCAGACGATGGAGTGTGAGCTAAGGATCTATCAGAATCGAGTTCTCCGTGGTACAATTACTCATTTTTTTAGGCATAAAATTATCACCATTTCAAATGCCAGCACTGCATGATCTTACATAGACAAAACGTCGCACTGGGCCAATTTTCCAGTGGAAAATGTTCCCTTTTATTTCAGTGCTGCAGCAAAAGCAAAGCTTTAGACGGTTCTACAAGCTGGCTATGCACTGAGAAAATACCATGTTAATATTAAATCTTCTTGTGCTGGTCCTAAACAACAGCTATTTTCCAAATATGTGACTTTTCGTCCAATTTACTTGTCTGAAACCCTTTTGTGGGTGTGCAATTTGTTTGAGAGAAGCTGAGTGCGAGAGAGTGAGAGTGGGCTACTGTAGTGGTACGTCACATTAAAGTACAATTAAATACATTACCATTACCTATGTACACAGACCTTAAAATACATGCCAGATTTGTCCTTGTTTCCCTCCCCTGCAAATTGGCCTAGACCTTATCCAAGAATCAGGAAAACAGCTGGATAGCTCCATTTCTCATTTCTCTCCCATATGTAAGACCTTCAAAACCAGCAAGAAGCCTTAAGAGGCTTCATTGTCTTAGACTTGACCAGATGCCCATCTTATTCCACAGTCTTCTTGTCCAGTAATAAAATTTATATCCAATATACAAATTTTCTGCATGAAATGTAACTGGTTAGTTCATACCCTGTTTGCTTCAGCTGAGATAGAAACTGCAAAATTCCACATCTGTAGATGGAACTTAGGGTATGGAACAATTCTCAACATAATATTTTATCATTTACAGCAGAGAAAATAATTCCATCCACTTTTACAGTTGGAGGGGGATCTTTTTTTGTAAGGGGAGATGGTAGTAATTAAGATAGGTGCCAAAATCTTCCTTGCCTAAACAATTTGCAAAACTATAGATCTAGTGATCTCTTTATAGTGAAACAGCCCAATATATTTTTATTGCAACAGTATAAACCTTATATATATATATTGAACCCCCAAGGCTAATTTAGTTATGAATCCAAAGGAAAAACAGTAAAGAAATAAATTTTTGAAGGCTCTTCTAGAGTTTCCCCATGTTCTGAAGTCACTTTTCTTGATGGGGCAACTACAGAGTTAATATATTAAAACCACAATAATTCAGAGCTCTTCTTCAGAGATCTTTCTAGATCTTTCTAGTGCTCTTTAGCACTACATGAAATGTGAGCAGCTATAAGGGTCTAATTTTTTTTAATTACAATTTTTTATATTTATTGGACATCCCACAGTGACACCAGGCTTTTCTCTTAATGGTTGCAATGACAGTTGCAGTCTCCATTACAATGTCAGAGGAAATGAAATGGTCCCTCTAAATGTGCATGGCTTTGCACTTTCACAGTCTCTATCTCCAAGCTGTGCAGTTTACTGGGCACAGAAGGTTGCCTTAAACCTCCCAGTGCTTGGCTTCAAAAGGCACAGATCAGAACTGTGTTCCGTGGTTGCAAAGAAGATTAAGCAAGAAATAAAAAAGTGGCTCACACCCTTTTCTTGCATGCACCATTCAGCAGCAGTCCAGCAGATATTTAAGCTCCCTCAGAAAAAAACAGTTCCCATCCCAGCTAAGGCAGACAGGTACATATTTAGCAGGTGTCTGTGATGAACAAAGTCCATGATATAAATGACATCAAAGGTGAGAGCCAGGAGAAAGAGCAAGTGAATGCAAAGAGATAAAAAAAAAAATAGAGTACAGCAATACAGACTCCATTTCTATGGGGGTATTTGATACAGCTGTAAATTTTAGATATTTTATTTTCATTAAACTCCTGCACGTTGGTATCACACCATCTTATTTTCCAAGCCCTACTCATGACTAATACACTTCAAAGAATTAGTGTGGTATTTTTTGTAACCTATCAAAGAACCAAATCACTAAATGGTTCCAACAGTCAGGACATTCCCCCGTTCCACTGTTAATCCCAGACATCATCTCTTTTGATTGAAATGCCTTTTTATTTTTTTTTTTTTTTTTGAAGGAAAGAACCTGGATCTGGGCATCTCTTTGTTTCTTCTTCTAAAGGGTCTCCGTTGCCTTTAGCTACCCATTACTGTTCCAATAACAGAATGGCACAAACCTTATTGCTTTAGGGTATGGCAGCACATTTTATAAAATAGCAGTTTCTCATCCAGCTTAAAGAGACAACCAGGCACATCATGGGTGGGTGCTGCAGGAAGCATCAAGAAGCAGAATCGTGTAGGTTTAAAAGAGGATGTTAAACTGCAACCACACTCTCAGTTTCTGAGCAGAGCAGTGAGTGATTGGTGCATCTAAATTTCTAAAGATTTTCATTCTTGTTAAATAACTCTCTCTACAAGGGATGTTAGCATTGTGGAAACAATTATTAAATAGTCGATGCAGTGGTAAAAAAATCTGAATGTGATCAGAATGTTAAACAAAGACATTGCAGGTCTTTAACATGCATTTTTAATGTAATTAATTTTGTTGCAAATTTCACATTTGGTCAGATCAAATTCCATTTTTGAGCAAAAATATGTAAGGTAATGGTTTTTGAAATACAGATCCAACTCAAAGAAAACTCAAAGTCACAAGTAAAAGTCTGATTAGTTCCTAACTATCTATAGATTTTACTGCTTCTCATCAACTCAGTAAACACTTCTACCATAAAAACAAATTAACCCCACATTAGTCTATGAAACTAAAAATATTATTTCCCAGAAAACAAACACAATTATCCCCACCATGCCATTGAAAATAAATGATACATGGACTGCTGAAGATGGTTAATGTCCATGGTAAGTGCTCCTATAAATATCAGGAATTGAAACACCACTCTATAAATATATTTCATGGGAGTTTAAAAAAGAAATTCTTTTGGAGTAAATTACTCATCAAGAAAACCCTTAAAGTTTGTTTAAAGATAATAGATACTCATTCTGTAGTCATTCAAGAAACTGAAACTAGACTTACACAACCAATTTTCAGACCCCTAGTACTCCCCAATGACACACACAATAAATATAACTCACAATTTACTGTATCTACAGGAAGCAAAAAATTCTTGGATGAAAACAAGAAGATAATACTCAAAGGGAGAATGAATATAAGATCATGTATTTTTACATCCTGCCAGAGATATGAAAGGATGACCTTGAAAAAGAGTGAGGATGGAAACTTGAATGCTTTGTCAGAGCTGCCCTGAATTCCACTGAAATCGGCTCCAATGCAAATGGTTTGAGCTGATGCTCAACAGTGCTAAGGCAAGGAGAGGACCTGGCTGAAAACCCTGGAAAAGCTGTGATGAGGAAGGTGGCATTATGGAAGAGCAGGGCAGCATTTCCAGGAAGGTCATTTACAATTTCTAAACATTTTGTGTTCAGCTGCAAAGGACAGATTTGGGACAACATGATCTGTACACGTGGAAGAGGCAGGTGCTGCTGAAACGAGGAGGGTGCTGGGTGGGAGGTCTGCACCCCAAAATATTGCACCCTCCCATGGGGTCTTGCTAAAAAGCAAAGTTACAAATTGCTTCTGAGACTGTGAGGAGCTTTGTCCTACTGCAGGAGCTCTGCACTCTCGAGAGGACCATGCAGCTCTTCTCAAAGCCCAGAGAGCCAGTGTGGGTGAACCAAGCACCACACACGCATTTTGTCATTTCTCTCTACAGGCTGAGAAATCCTGCCCGTAGGATTGGAGTAGGATGTATACCAAAGCAGAAAAGTATAAATATTTTAGTCAAAACCTTACAGTGAAGTGGAAGTGGGAAGATCTGCATAAAGATCAGAAAACAGACTTTACTGCCTAATAGTTCTGTTTAAAAAGAGTTGTTCAGAAAAACTCTTCATAATATCTGGAAAGTGTTGTGTTTATATTAAATGTTTTGTTCACTGAGAAATCATATGGTGCTCTGCTCTCTGAGGCTGACTGGCAGCTGTTGTTACCCACCTACATGCAGGATTTGGCACAAAACAGCTCTGAAGTTCGAAACTGCAACATTTTGCAGTTTGCCCAGAGAAGATGTGGCTGCCCCATCCCTGGAAGTGATGACAGGGCCAGACTGGATGGGGCTTGGAGCAACCTGGTCTAATGGAAGGTGTCCTTACCCATGGCAGGAGGCTTGGAATGAGATGATCTCCCTCCCAACCCAAACCATTTGATGATTTTTGCTGTGTTTGTGCAGTGATGTAAACTGAGGCACAGGAGACAGGGCAGGTTTTAAAGGGCAGCTGAGGTCATCTGGGCTAAATGCACTCCAGTAACCTGAGAAACTACTGAGTTCAAACCATACAAGTCAAAACTACACTTTGAAATCTTCTTTTAGTTCTGCAGGATCATGACCCTTAGTGATTCGGAAGCTTTGGGTCTCCACCGAGAACAATTTTTGTTCTGCAAAGGAAAGCATATGGATTCTAGCTAGGCAATCTGTCAGGGTGCTGGGAAAGATGCAAAAAAAGGCAGCAACACTTTCCTGCAATCGCGTTACCGTTCTTCCTTTTCCCATCTCACACTTTGGGGAGAGGATAAAGCACGCCTACGGCACACAAGGCACATGAGGATAAGGGCGAAGCTGGAGAAGGGATCTGCAGGGTGTGCTAACACAAATGCAGCTCAAATGCAAGCAGAAAAGCCCCAGGATGCAGAATAGTTTGGAAAGAGAGGTGCCCTAACCCTGAGGTCTTGGTTTTAGGCATCAGAACCAGCAGTCAGCATTTCAAGAAGGAGGGTTAAAAAGTCCTGTCCTCTCCAGGACAGGTGAACATGACCCCTTTGATTCCCTGGGATGTACTTGTACTCATTTTCCTTA